ATAATCAGTCACAAGAACGTCGAATCTGAATCACTTGAAAAAAACACGGGGGTGCTTAACTTTTTTCCAGGTGTATATATTCGTTTTTAGACCTGGAGAGAATGCAGTTATCCCATGACTTTCTGTTAAGAAAAAATTCACCTAATTTGACGTAATGATCATGAGATATAAATTAAGTGTTAGTTGCTGCTTTAATCCTTTTATTGATAATAAATATATGCAAATATTAATAATTTTGACAATTGCAAATTTAGCAATTTTGATCTAACTCGATCAACAACCTATGTTTTTCTGATTATGAAGAGTATGTTTTGAAGAAGGTTTGGAAAAAAAACAGAAGACTGACTCTGCTGGCTCGCATATTGATTGGACCATTTGATTGGTTGCTTATTGAATTCCACGCAAAGCTACTCGATAGATATCTGCACTAGCCGTCCCTAATTTAGAAGTGATAGCCTAGATGGAAGATAGCCGACAGCGGGATTGACCGTCACATCATGTCTAAAAGTGCGACCATGTTCGGTGACGGAATGGTGGAAAGCATCTCCCCACCTCTCCTGTTCCTGGTACTCACTTTATCTGAATGTATTTTTAAGATTAATAAAGGGCCAATTTTCTGCTTAAATGCCACTGATAAAAGTACGATTTGTTTGATGTAAGCACAGAGTTACACAATGGGTCTCTGTGCTATGTCCACCACGAGTATCGAAATCAATTTTTAGTGTAATAAAACCTCAGACTTACTGCTGAGCCACTGGTGTGTGCTAAAACTAGCCGTTACCTATTCTTTCAACACGGATAATTATTTTATAATGTGAACAAACACATAAATAATAGAAACTTCGTAGTACATAGTATTATTGATTGTATGCTTACAATAAACAATTATTTCCAAACATGGTAGAGAAACGTTCAAAGGATTGAGGACGTTTTGAAACTATCAACAAATCTGACCGTTGTTTATTTGTCTGACTACTATGACCGCAATTTGGTTGTTATTGATATTCAATAAAATTTTCCTCTCCACTGACGTCAACATAAGTATCCAAGTGATCTTCAGAAAGCGTGCTTCTAAGTCAGCTGTGAGAAAGTTTTTTCACAAGTCATCATGTTTGTTACGCTGACCACAATTACATATTTTCTTTGTAGATTCTTAGTGATACTGTAAAATTCGAGGAAAAATATTCTATGACCAATTAGTTAACTTAAAGTAACAAGAAAGAGAAGGAAAACCAGCTAGTTTTTAGCTGATGTAAACAAAAGTGTGAACCAGAACAGCACTTGTTCTTTTTGTTTATAGTATATCAAAATCACAATTTTACACCTCAAATACACTGAACTTTGCTTCTAGTACAATCAAAACCAAAATTTACCACATTGATTTTACTAAATGACCAATGATAGCCACATATCACAATATGTTTTTAGAGCTAGTGAACTGGAACGGAGAACAAGGCACTGGATAGAATGTACGTCTTTATTCTTATCTAACAAGAAAAGGACTCCAGCGCAATAAAAGTGGCCAAGTTTGGAAGTTGTCATTTGGCACCAGTTGCCAATAATTTATGAGTAAGCCATGGAATTATTTATGTTTTGTATCACCAACAATTCGTAGAATTTGAAACACGTGCTGGTAAAAACAAAAGGATCCCACCATTGTTCAAATTCTTAACCGATTGTTGATAACAACTGCATTCAGAAGCACAACATGTTTTTATGAACAAAACAATACTAGTTTGTTATTTCTTAAATGTTTACGCAAACGTATAGCTGCTAATTTGTTTGTTATGAATTTCGCATAAAGCTACCCGAGGGCTATCTGCACTAGCCGTCCCTAATTTAGTTGTGAAGAACTAAAGAGAGAACAGCTAGTCATTACCACCCACCGCCAACTATTTTACCAACGAATAGTGGGATTGACCGTTACATTATAATGACCCCACGGCTGAAAGGGCGAGCATGTCTGGTGGGACGGGGATTCGAACCTGCGACCAGCAGATTGCGAGTCGAGCGCCCTAACCATCTCTTTTTATTATTAAATAAAAGGGGAAGTCAAGAAAGAGCTGTTTACGGCTCAAATGTATAGCATTGCTGGCTAAGACTGAAAAAGTGGAATATCTTGAATTAGTTTCAGTAAATGGTCGGGACCGCAGGGCACCATCTTAAATGAGGACTTCTGGTAAACCTAAACATAATAAAATTTAGGTCGTATTAATGTTGTTAAAAAAATAAGGTGTTTTAAAAATTCACAACCATTCTACGATAACTCTGGGCTGGCTGGGGGCCCTGTTTTCTCCGGCACCGCGGCGGGTCTACCTCCCCCTGTACATGCGGGTTTTGATGACAAGATTAATCTTTCGTTTGTTGAACTTCGTGAAAAGCTACTCGAGGATTATATACAGCAGCCGTCCCTAAATTAGAAGTTATATACTAAAATGAAGGCAACATCACTCACCACCAATTCTTTGGCTATTTTAATCGAATAGTGGGATTGGCCGTCACTCTGAAAGGGCGAGCATTTTCGGTGATGGGATTCGAAACTCCCGTAACTCGAGTGACCTAACCACCAGAACTTGCCAGGCACGCAGTTCGTTTTCGGATCTTCGCACAAAGCTACTCAAGGGCTTCCTACGCTAGCCGTCCCTAATTTTGAACTGATAGATTAGAGGGAATGCATCTAGTAAAGAACACCCACTGCCAACTCTTTTCTGACTGAGTATTGGGATTTGACAGTCACTATTATAATGTACTCACGGCCTCAGATTGAGGAGCACAATTTTGTTTCGGTAATCTAAACGCTTTCATTTGACCCGCCGGTCCATAATAAGACACACACTACAAAAATCACAGGAAGATGCTCGGACCGCTTTTGTGAAGGTGAGATTTTTTCATTTGTTTTTAATTAAAAGATAGTAAAAAACTTACTGAGGCCTGGTGGGTAGGACGTTCGACTACCAATTTGCTGGTCACGAGTTCGAATCCTGTCACCAAACATGCTCACCCTTTCTGCCGAGGAAACGATATAATGTAACGGCCAATCCCACTTTTCATTGATAAAAACTAGCTTAAGAGTTGGTGGTGAGTGGTGTTGATTAGCTTCCTTCCCTCTAGTCTATCACTTCAAAATTAAGGACTGCTAGTCCAGGTAACCCGCAAGTAACTTTACGCGAAATTCAACAAAATAAAAACGTACAGAAAGACATAAGCTTTTTTACTTGAAATACCAATCGAAAAGGATATATATTAGTTATTATTTCTGATTTCTAAAGTATTCAAAGGCAGGTTAATCCACGACTTGGTTTGTTGATTGATGTACAACTTTATTTTATTCAAACTTAAGTTTCGGTAACTTTCTCAAGAGTAAAAGGGATTGGTCAAACATTTGTACGTAGGCCCATTACAAAACAATCAAAAATAAAATTGCAGTCAATGCAAATACATTTTAACGTATGGATATCGTTGCAAAAAAGAAAGTGTCAGATTTACGAATTTTCCATCATCCTCTATTTTGATCGTCAAGCTATTCCCACCAGCATTTCATAAAATCAAAGGAATGCCAAAATAAAAACTGCCATAGAAATACTCTCAGAGCAAAAAATAAACATTAGTATATACAACTTCGAAAATCTTTCTATCGGTTAGTATATAATTCCGGTATTTAAAATAATATAACCTGAAAATAGAATGTACTTCATGTATGCATGCTTCCCGTGAAGTTCTCGCAGATGGTACAATATAAAAACGTTAGAATTAGGAGTTAATCCAAATATGAAATCCGGGAAGGGTTAATCTTTTGAAGAAATATACCAACAATTTCGACTTTTTAATATTAAAAGCTCTGGCTTGTATGAAGACAACAGCATTGCTTTACATTTTAAACTCTGGAAAGCTCAATCTTTAAAAAAAACAAGAGGTTTCTTTCTTTTAACCATTGTGGACTACCTGCCGTTTCCAGAGCGTGGAATCGAACCCCTGATTTTAGCGATGCAAGTCCGAAGACTTACCACTATCCCACCGAGGGACAAAAACCGAGAGTGGTATTAAATTTTCACTTTAATGGCGCATTATAAGACACACTGGTTAAAAGGACAGGCTCTAGTACCCACAGGTTCGGGTATAGCCGTCCATAATCTAAGAGAAGCCGAGCAGAATACCCCTCTTACACCAACTGTAACCTTTACAACACACTCACTGCATTCAGTGGTATGTCGTGGGCAGAAACATTTGATCTTCCAGTGATCGCGCGCGAGATAAAACTTATTATTCCAAATTGAACCGATCACTGCTGTTGTGGCTACTGGTATTTTTAACAGATTGATTAAAATATCATTTTTAATTTTTAACGTCAACTTTACCTATAAAACAACGTACACTTTTAGAATACAAACAGAATGTTAACGCGTTTTTTGCGTAGAAAACTCTTCACAGACAGCCTTTTAGTTAAAGAAAGCATATTTATTAATAATTTTGTTACAATGCAAAAATCGACAACAGCAGCAAGATTTTTTTCAGTATTATCAACACTTTAGTTTTACAAGGCCACTTTCTCAGTCAGAAAAATACGAGCTCTCTAGTAAGCGTATAGCAACAAAGTTTTATATTTCAGGCCTAACAACGAGAGCAGATCAGGTTAGTCACCATCTCAGACACTAAAGAAAACGACATCCACAATGTTTAACCGATAATGTCAAAATAACGCATTAATTAATATAAAACGTTAGCTTAGTAATTTGTGTAAATACTACTATACACAAGTTATTAAAAAACAGGAACATAAATGAAGACGATGTTGCTGGATTGTGTGTATCACTAGATCAGGATTTTTTTTTAAAAAAAGAAAAACAAACATATTTGCACAACACTTTGCCATACAAGTGATCTGGGAGCAATAATCACGGATCAACATATATTTATTAGACTTAATGATTAAATGTCGTAGCCTCACGAGAAATAAGAAAAAACTTTTAACCCTGTATCAAAGTGATTCTTCTGAATGATTTCCAAGATGCAAAGATGTTTTCATATGTTCTAGGTTTTGTTTAATCAAAATGTTTAAAAAACACAAATACTTTACTTCATGTTTAAGTCGACAAATAAGATGACACAAATTTTAGGTAATGCTAAAAATAATATACAGTTAATGGAAGATGCTGGAATTTATAACCTTCCATGTTAAAATGTTTATATATCAGGCAAACAAAACATCATTTAGCAGAGCATAATGGATATGTAAAAAAATGAAAGGACTGAATATTCGGCCATAGCAGAACATGTATACATTTACATGCTGGGAATAAAGCAACCAACCAAATATTTGGGAGTAGAAATACAGAGAAATTTTCATAATTGTCTTTTCAGCTTTGTACAGTCGGAATGTATCATTTTACTATGTTCAATACAATTATCACGGTACAGGGTACTTACAACTTTTTAATACCGTATGTAATTTATCAGTAATAACCACTTTGTTAAAACTGATTACTGCTGAAATAAAATGTCTCATAACATAAAAATCATGATTTTCTTTTACTTAAAAAAAAAAAATAATGGAAAAGTTCAAAATAAACCAGAAAACGTGGAATACAATAGTACTGAGAAGAAAAAAAGTGCATGGTAGTAGTTTTTAATTAAAATTCCCAGTAACATGCAAATAAACATTGGTGTAATTTAGGAATACTGATAAATTACAATTATTCTCATGAATGCAAGAAAAAACTAGTGTGTGTGATAACCATTTCTGTCCCTTTACCAAAATATAATGAGCACTTGTTTCTACACCTTGAAAATTCTCTATGAATTATTCAATTAATCAAAAAATTAATATCTAACCAGATGGACATTAGGGTGAAAACTAAGATAAGAAGTTGATGCATATAGTTATTTAATACATTAATAACCAGCAGAATGGAGAAATAACTAAGGAAAAACAATATACAGTGTACAAGTCCATAATACTTCATAACTTCAAAATCCATCATCACGTTCACTATTAAAGCAAGTGTTCTTTGCATATGAAGAAGTATTTCTATGTAAATACAATACACTATGTTAAAGCTGATTTGTATGCTAAAAGTGTCTGGGATGTGAAGTTATAATACTATATAAATCCAATACACTATGTTAAAGCTGATTTATTTGCTAAAAGTGTCTGGGATGTGAAGTTTAATTACTATATAAATCCAATACACTATTTTAAAAATGGTTTGTATGTTAAAAGTTTCTGGGATATGAAGTTATATTACTATATAAGTCCAATACACTATGTTGAAGCTGATTTATTTGCTAAAAGTGTCTGGGATGTGAAGTTATATTACTATATAAATCCAATACACTATTTTAAAAATGGTTTGTATGCTAAAAGTTTCTGGGATGTGAATTTATATTACTATATAAATCCAGTATGCAATACACTACGACAGGTTTGACTTGTTTGGTGTATTTTACAGGGATCAAAAGTTCTATTTCATTATACACATAATACACTATTACAAGACAGATTAGCATGTAAAAGATTACTACATAATCCAATACACTGTGGCAGAACTGATTAATACACAATGAACAATGACAGAATGGATTAATGTAGTACGAGTTTTTAAAATAATTTATAGTTGTTTATACTAAAGTTTCTTATATTATGATTGTCCAATAAAATAAAAGAAACAAAAATTACAAAATACTCAATTTCTAATACATCTTCCAATTTTGTTTTATTTTTTACGCATTTTAATTAAGCCTTGCTTATAAAAAAAAGAAAATCTACATTTCTAATACTATCCTCACAGTATCATTTTTTTCTAAGTTTCACTGTACGCTTTTACATCTGTTTCCTAATCCTGCTTATAAATAGCACTTTAGACCAATTACGTTTCCAACTACGTCTACTGATGGCTTAAGACTGATATGATGTGCTATTTTTTACAAACACACCTTTAGACTGGCTAAGAGGATCAGGAGTGAAAACCATCTGCAACCTAAAACAATGTTGGACACATTTCACAAACTTGAAGTTTAGCTGCATTTAGTTCCTGAAAACCTTGGTCAATAGTGTTTCCTTACAAAACTAAACTATTCTAGAAGGATATTTCACCTTGGGCTGCAACAAATTAACAAAAAATATGAACCACTTTCCTACAAATTAAACCTAAAAAAACATACAGAAGTGAGTGAAACAACATATATAACAACAATATACTGTTTGCAATACTAAATCAAATGTGCAGAAAGTATTTCAGACTCTCAAAAATACGTGAAAATAACTAGACAAAATGATGGTTTAATAGTAGAGCTCATTAAGAACTATGAAGTCATATTTATTTGTAGAAATATTTGAAACAGAGTGGCACAGTAAGTTACTTAACACCATATTTTGTGAATACAAAAACTTTAAAGATCTTAAAAATAATTTTTACAAAACATGCACCATAAGCAAAAATGGAAATACCAACAAATTGAGGATATGTTTAATCAAATCAGTTGTTAATAATCCATAATTTGTAACAGTGCACAAATTACTCTAATGCAAGATATAATAATTCTGTAATATTCATATGATCAGATTTGCTAAACATAGGTTAAATGACTTCTTTTATTATTACAACTCAACATTACTGCCCTATGTCAAAATATGCAACACGAGTTTACAACCATACTTAAAATATGCAAGCTCAAATTATAACACACAAATTTATTTTCCACAACTTGAAATTGAGAAAGCTATCACTGCACTTCAGAAATGCACAATGCAATTTTCAATACTTAAAAATTGCCGTTCTTTAATAGGTCACTTGGAAGACAAACTGTATTAAGGGGTATATATTCTAGCAGCTTAACTTCTCAAGAAATATAAAATTATTCAATGGGATAACTATAAGGGTCCTAGATAATATTTTAGCAAGATAGATTATTTTGTTGTTTCTCTATCATGAAAAATTTTAACACTTCATACAGAGATAACACAACAGATCAGACAAATGTAACAAACAAGAACATAATTTGTATTTCTTCATCATAGTAAACCTATCAAATTAATAACCATCACCTATATGAAATACTAAAGCTATGTCATCAACACTTCTCTTTGGTTTCGTAATCTCAAACCAACCCTCAGTGACTAAGGAACTACCAAAACTTTCAAAGAAAATAAAAAAATTACAGTTGGATTTATTCAATTAGTGTCTATTAGTAAAATACTATACAAAATATTGTTGCATGCAAAATTAATTGTCAAAGCAGACATCAATACATTAATTTTTTTTATTAAACATAACTTTTTATAACATGATTACTTAAATTAATAAAATAAAAGGGTTTAAAAAAAATGGCTGTGATAAATAAAAAACAAAATTCACAAAACTTCAAACTACAATGATAATAATTAAAGCCAACAATTTTGTTTATTTTGATAATAGAATTTATTTGAGGGTTAGAAATAAAAAAAATCTGAATTGACCAAGTCTGCTTCTGGAACCTTCTGATAGATGCAGCTCTTCATTTGTATGTGATTTCCCAAATCTTGATGTTACTGTCCTGTCCCGTAGACACCAAAGTGTTATTGTCTAAAAAGGTAAGTCTTGTTATCTGACTCTGTGGATGT